GGATGAACAGTAAAATTGTTTTACCACCAATGATTAAGCCAGGTCTTCTTCTTAGTCATATTTCTGATGACACTCCGACTTCAAAACATTTTTTTCAAAACATTCGAAAATAAAACTTATGCTTCACAATGACGCCTTTTGGAGAAACTTATGTAGTTAACATTACCGGCTACATGACCCCCTCTAAAGAGCAAGGTCAAAATTTCCACAGAATTGGATCATTGCTCCCAGTTTTCGACGGGGTGACAAGTTCCCACAAATTTATTTTAATGCTAACAAAAATCATCGATGTGATTTCCGCTGAGCTACCAAATCATATAGAAGATGCAGTTCTATTTGAAACAATACAAAAGCACATGATCCACGGGCCTTATGGTGAACTTAACCTAAATTCCCCTTGCATGAAATATGGTAAGTGTACAAAGCGCTATCCGCGTGAGCAGGTCCATGAAACTCAAACGGGAGGTGATAGATATCCTCTATATAAACGAAGAGAGCCAAGTGATGGTGGATAAACAACCATGTTAAAAATGCGCAATGTAATTGTTGAATTATTCCGAATGTTATTATTTGCGATTGTTATTGCATACTATGAAAGGCCCAAAATTATTTTACGCTTTGTAAACCATCGATGGAAATGACTAGAAGCCTGTTTCAGATTGGGCTTGCTTGATCAGAATTGGAAAACGACACTAACCGAAGCATCACTTACGAGTTATCCGAATCAATATCGCACTTCTTTTGCGATCATTTTAACTGTGGGGTCGTGAAAGTCTCATCGTGAAAGTCTCAGTGAGTATATTATTGGGCAATCACGCGCAATTGATCCTAACTAGGACTACTATGACGATATTTTCAATCAAGCCTTATTGCTGATTGAATATATCATTTAAAAGCACAGTTTTAAGTCATCTTATTATGCCAGCTTTGGTTAGGTTATTTAAGATAGTAATCTTATGAGAGAACAACATTTAGATGTGAAACAGCAAAAACATTATGTGGAAACTCATTTAAAACTATTGATTACTGATCAAAAAAATGCTTACAACAAAATCATGCAACGTGTAACAAAAAATCAAGCCGGACTTTTATTCCTCGATGCGCCAGAAGGGATAGGTAAAACATTCCTCATTCATTTGATTCTGGCGTCCGTTCGAAAATAGAATTGGATAGCACTTGCAGTGGCATCATCGGGAATTGCATCAACGCTCTTGGACGGTGGAAGCACTGCTCATACAGCATTCAAACTTTCATTAAATTTAAACCAAACAGAAACACCAAAGTACAATATTAACAAAAACGCTGACATGGGTAAATTCCTCATAACATGCAAATTTATCATTTGGGTTGAAATCCACAATAGCCCATAGGACATCACTCGAAGGTCTTGACACAGAACTTTGCGAGATTTTCGAGGAAATAACCAACCAATGGGAGGTACTCTTACTCTGCTTGCTGTAGATGTCCGGCAAACTTTGCCAGTTATTCCGCGATCAATGCCCGCAGATGAGTTAAACGCTTGCTCATATCTTTGGAACACAGTCGAAAAAACCACGCTAACAACGAACATGCGTGTACATTTACTTCAAGATTCATCTGCCCAAACATTTTTGCAACAACTCTTAGATATAGGGTACGACCGTGCACCAAAAAAGGTTGATGTTAACAAACTCAACGAGGAAATTCAATCAAAACTTCCCGGCGAAATAATCAATTACAAATCGATCGACACCGTCATGGACAAAGAACAATCTGTCAATTATCTAGTGGAATTTTTAAATTCAATGGAACCACCGGGAATAACACCGCACATATTATTATTGAAGATTGGATCGCCGCTAATGCTCATTCGCAATTTAAATGCACCTAAATAATACAACGGAACCAAATTAACAATTTAAACATTGCCACCAAGTTTAATCAAAGCAACAATCATCGGTGGAAGATTCAAAGGTGAGGATGTACTGATTCCACGAATACCGATGATCTTCAACGATTTACCGTTCGAATTCCAGCGGCCCCAATTTCGTTTGCGTTTAGCCTTTGCAATATCGATCAACAAAACACAGGGTCAATCGTTGACTATTGCCGGCTTAAATTGGAAAATTCATGTTTTTCACACGGCCAATTGTATGTGGCTGCTCTAGAGTTGACAAATCGAAGATTTTATACGTATACAATATATAATATAGTTTACTTTAATGAATTAATAGGTATGTCCAATTTTCCATTTGCATTATTTTTGTTGTATTCTTCGATATGAGTTGATATATTTTTAAATTACTTGAATTAAATGTTATAATGATTATTCATAAGTAAGGTTACTTCTAAGTGGCAGTATAAATAATTTTGTATAGTAATTCATACTATATTTTTGGTTAACACCCTTAGTTGTATGAATGTATTCTATTTTTGTCATTTTTATTTACATGTTAAAACAAAAGAGTAAGAGTAAATGACAGATTATTAACAACTGCAAAAAAAAACAGTTTGTTAATTATTAGTTCATGTATGCTTAAGAGGGAGTATGGGTTTTTACTTTCGAAAAATCGATTTTTTTTCTTATCTTATTGCTTAACATTTCAAGAATATGTCCTAAAAATTTTAGGATAATTTTTCAAAACTACTTTTTCAAAGTCCGTGTTCACTGTCATTTCAAAACTACTTGACCGATTAATTTCAAACTTTATACACATTTTCGACATATAAAATACCGCCCTCCAACGTTTTTTTTGCATTAAGGGTGTTTTCCACCCCCAAAATGGCGAACTTTTTTAATGGAAAATAACAGTTTACACTTTAAAAAGCCGCCAAAAATTTGTAAATGAAAAAAAAAATTATCAGAGAACATTGGGGGGAAGATTTGATCATAATTTAACTATTTTTTCTTGGCTTTTTTTCAGATAATTTCCAGCCGAGTTATGGTGAGCACCGCTAATTGTTTTGTTTTTCTCAAGAAGTTCGGGGGGAAGCCCTTGAAACCGTAACCAACCCTTAAATAAAGCCCGGCGAAGCAAGCTGGATGGGCTAGTAAGTAATAAATATTAAATCGATTTAAAACTAGACAAGCTCAAGATTTTGATTGAGCCTTTTCATACTCTTGCAACAGGTTGCTGCAGAGTATAATAGTTTTGTTCACCTAACGGTTGTTTGTATCACCTAAAACTAATCGAGATAGATATCAAGTTATATATACAAACATAATGATCAAGATGAAGATACGAATTGAAATCAGGTTGACTGAACAAAAATTTATATATCTTGATGAAACTTGGGTGCACATGTTTCTTGGGACCATAAAAAGTTTGGTATTGTAGATGCGTGTAATCGTAATACTGCCACGCCCACAAAATGCTAATAATCGGAAACCCATAAATTGCCATAATTATTCCGCAAACTAAGATACAAACCTCTAGCTTGCTACAACGAATTGCATTAACGAGAGGCACCTCTGGGTTAAAACACTTTTAACAGTGGGCGTGGTCCCGCCCCCTATTAATTTTTATGTTGCAATGTGAATATAGATTAAATCAGACATAACCACGTCTACTTTCCATATAACACCACCTCTTCCATCTAATTAATTTCCTTTCCAGTATGTGCCATCTTATATGTAAAACTTTTTAAAATCGGACGATAAGGTTATGTAGACTCCAGTGTCTATAGCTGACTTTTTACCGAAAATGTCGGTCAGTGTGAAAGATATATAATTCAAATTCGCTGAGGATCCTTCCCTGATAATAGTATGTCTGTATGTCACAAAAGGGTTGAATCGGGTGAATACTTCCCTTAGTCCCCATATACCTAATATAAAGATTTTCGAATTTCCAGTTGACTTTATACCGCATATATCGGTCAATATGTGAGTTATCTTATTGAAATTAAAAGAGCATGTTGTTCAAATAACATTTTTTTTGTGCATAAAATGGATAAAATCGGGTAAAAACTTACCCTAGCCGCCATATAACTAATATCAGAATTTTAAAAAATTGACTTTACTCCTCTCCTTATATATTGGTGATGGCATGTTTAATGAAACCCACAGATCATACTTTTGTTAATAATATATAGTAATGCCAAAAATATTTGACAGCGGGTCAATATTACCGGTATTTCCCATTTATCTAATATAAGAATTTCAAACTTTGATTGATTTAACCGTATATGTCAAATAGGTCAATATGCAAGATATCTCAGCAAAATTAACTGAATTAGAAATCGGTCAAGGAATTACTCCAACTCCCATATATGTACATATGTACAATAATACATTATGATTTAACTTGAATACGGTTTTGTTAAAGATCTACAATATAAGTTAGAGTGTTGTCTTGTTAATACTAATTGAGATATAAGTTGTTGGAATTAGTAATAAAGATAAGTGTATAGACATTAAATTGTGACTTTTATTTAACAATCCAGTGATCGAACTCAAGAATGAGTTACAATGTAGACGATTTATCGAGAAATCCATTACAATTTAGTTATAAAACTAAGTGAGTCTATAACCTATAATATAACTTAATAAATTAATAAATTTTATTGTAATCCATTCACAATTTCGTCGAATAAATGTTGAATTCGCAACAGATTTAAATATAAAGTTTTTCCAACACCTGCTGGTATTTCCCCACTACAATATTCGGTTACATCCGAACTTGTTCAGTATAAAGTTTTGTCAATCCCTGAACTTAGCTCTTCCTTACTTGTTGTAATTGACTTTGTATATTTTTACATTTCGATTCGAGTATTTTACATGAACAGTGGTGTTTTTTCAGCCCATTTAATGCCTTTACCAAAAATGAGTATAGCTTTGTTCATAGTAAAAGCAAATATGTTACGTCTATATAAATGAATATCAAATCTGAGAAAACGGTAAATGATCTGCAGTGATGATACAGGAAAATTACATTTGATGAAAGATCACATTAGTTGAAATAAAAATTAGAAATAATATTGCAAATCGATCCTAACTAGTATCACTATATCCCAAGACTACGTTAATGTAATTGAGGATGACTTACCGATAAACTTTTAACTGATCCTGTTGCACGTCTTTCAGAGTAAACTTGTTTTAGCTGCTCCATTCCAGTAGCGCCAATAAATATAACAAACGGCATCAACTGCTGACTATTATGAAGAAATTTTAAAGTGCTTGGAGCACAATCTAATATGCACATCCGACCTAAGATTATTCAAATGTTCAATCCTTGCACAACCCTAAAAAATAAAGTACCAGATCTTACCACTCTCGATCACTTCATTCACAGAGTTCAAATGCAAACCATATAAATGTCCATTGTAGCTACCATATTCAAGAAATTCATTACGCTTTATTTGTTCTTCCATTTTTTCACGATTAGTAAAATAGTAACTGACTCCATTTTCTTCAAGTGGCCGCTTAGGTCTAGTTGTATCTAAAAATAATATATATTTCATTAATTCTTATGCTTGTTAATTATCTCATACGGGGTATAACGGTTCCAAAGCGCTCCGGATCACTATTGATAAGACGATTTTTCAGGGTGCGCCTGCCAACTCCTGGAACACCAATTAAGACCAGAGTTTTCCTTCGAAATGGTGGCATCCTTGTTACCTCCTCATATAAAAGCAAATCAGCTTTGTCAAAATCGCAATTTGCTTTAGATTTGTACATAGTTATTTTCTTACGCTTTGAGACCTTTTATTTTAAAATAGCGAAAATTTTTATAGAAATATTCTAAATATAGAAATAACTGACCCTTGTTCCGCATATGCCTATCTTATGAGCGAAATCAGCTTCAGGTACAACAAAAGCTTTGCGTCTCTCTTCCAATTCTTGTGAAGGTATTAGACCGATCCGCTCAGATTGATCGTTACAATTTTTCGCTTGCCACCAATTCGGATCTTTAACACTCAATATCTGCTTTAAATCTAATTGTTAGATCCCTACAAATTATTTAATATATTCAAACCTGTAAAATATCGCCCGAATTAAAAGCCAGTCCTATATCCTTGCATGGTATCAACGAGTCTTCAAAAGGGTTATAGTCGAATAAGGCTCGCATGAAGCACTAAAAGTATAATTTTGTGAAAATAATGTAATTAAATTATTTATGCTTGGTAACACTTTCGAAATGTTAGTGGTTCCGATAGTATATCTGGCAGATTTAATTCATACTTGTAAAATGTACATGGTAAAAACACATGTTGTAAAAATACATGTTAAAATCTAAGTAGTAAATTCCTTTAATGTCATTGTTTTGAAATGGTTATTTAGAATGTGCTTTGTGCCTAAATATCACTCTTTAGGATACCAAAGGTATTTAAACAAAAGTCTTCCGACGACTACTGTTTGCCTTTGACGTGTAGCATAACTGATTTAAAAATTACTGGACAATATGATAAACCAATTCTAATTTTCGATGGTGTAACAGAATCTGATTAGCTTTTCGTGTTTTCGGACATAAGCAAAACCAATATTAAAATCAGCTGTTTGCTAATGTGGTAAAACGTGCAAATGAAAAAATTTGGATCAATTCTATTAAAGTTTACATTGAGTTCTGCAATTTTATCGTTTATTTGATTGGACAAAAAAACAACGAAAAGATTAAAGGAATCGTAAGTGAAGTTTAGCTTGCATTTACTTGCTAACTTAAAATATCTGGATTATTTTCCATAAACTTAAAATAATAGCATTTTGTGTTCTGTTCTTATGTTTTGCTCTATAAAAATAGAGATACGTTAATTCGTAGCAATAAAATAAATTAATTTCTTAACCTACATTTCAAATCTGTCAACAACTATTTTCTTGCTTTGTTTCTGATAACAGAACAGATTAAATTCGTTTCTGTGACACCCAAAACCGACACAATTTCTGTTTCGAACGTCAAACCAATAATATCGGAGTTCGTCACACCTACTACATTTTACTTTATTGGTTTCAATTCTGATGCCGACACTAATTGTCTTCTTGCATGCATTGTTTTCTTTCTGCAACATTGGATACTTTCAATCATGAATATTTTTGTCGCAAAGGATTTGATCTGATTGCAGTAAATCCTTTTTATACAATTTTATCATAACGGCATTTAGGTTTTTAGTGAAGCACATCAAAACCCCAGGCAGAGCAAAGAAGCATTCATAAATATGCACCTTGTGGGGGTGCATAACACTCCTTTGAATAAATGTTTGTCCTGTTCTGATCCAAATGCGTTTCAAGTAGTTGAACAATACAAAAGTTGACTAATCTGTAAATATTACATTGCTAAATTCAATGTGGCATAGAAACGCTGCTTCAAGACATTTCTTATAGAGAGTACTCATTTTTCTCATGTCACGGCAAGACGTGATACATTAAGAAGATCGAAAAAAACTGACCAAATTGAACGTTTCAGTGATCGCAACTGATCATATGTTAATTTGCAAAAAAAAAAACTTTAATCAGCTTCTTTTGAATTGATCCCACAAAGGGAATACGTTATTTTTAAAACGCACTGTATATGGAACTTACGTAAAGTATCGAACCGATATTGTGCAGTTTTAACAAAAACATTATTATCAGTATAAGATATCCACTTATTGGAATTAAAATATCTTGAAGATGATTTCTGCATAAGAAGGCACTGAGGTCTTCATATTCATTATTTAAGGACTTCAAAAGTTAAAGATCTTTAGCGACTAGAGGTCCCACACTTTAAGTGTAGAATGTTTTATTTTTATTTCTGCCATTTGAACTTAATTAAGTTGAAAGAATGTGATGGGATTTAATATTGTATTATATGGGAAATAGATGTCGTTATTTTCAGATTACCACGTTTTTAAGTTGTAACATAAGAATGTTATATGACTCGAGCAAACTATAGTTAGTTCAAATTGATTGAGTAGTTGCTGAAATTCGAAACTTCATGTAAAAGTGGTCGGTGCCATGCCCATTGTCCAATTTTATATCAATTCACATGCAAACCGACCGTACTTTACGCAACAATTTCAAACATTGGAGATACCACTTTTCCAAAAAATATATGTACTCTATTACCGTATGCAACTCCACTCCGTTTAATTGATGTTAATTCCATTTTAGATGAACTCTTTTTTGGTATTACGAACTACAACTCATTTTAGTTCAAGGTTTATTGATATTGCTAATCTAGAAATTGAAGATCTGACAGCTAATTAAGCAGCTGTAAATTTTTAAACAGAAATTAAAACAATTCAATTTAGTTATTAAATAAAAGAGGGTGAAAAAAATATTAAAAGAGAAACCTTAAGGAAAACGAAAATAAAAATTTGCCAAGTTTGTATACTGTGGGTGGTTAACTTTACATTAGAAGAGAGAAAATTTTGAAATGTTTGATTTTTATTAATTAAATTAATTATTTTTAAATCGTGTATTCATTTTCGAGGAGACCGGCGCTAATTGAACGAACTGATTATTAATATTATTACTTATTATCAATATGAGGTAGAAGACTAGATAAGAACGCAAACATGGAAGTGAGTGAAAAAGGATTAAAGATATAGCCAATAAAAAATACTTTTTTAGGTTTTCACCTAAAAGTGGGCGGAGCCACGCCCATTTTCTAATTTTGAAGTCGGTTCCTATAAAGTCATCTCATACCATCCCATATGTAAAGTTTAATGTCTCTGGCGTGTTTAGTGCTTGATTTATCGCGCTTTTAGTAGTTTTTAACAGTACCGTTATATGGGGAGTAAGCGGGGTTATCACCCGATTTCACCCATTTTCACACTGTCGATTGAGGTGCTAGAAGCATTTGTTCCTAGTGCATTAAGTTATTATATCATTGGCGTTTAGGAAATATGCACATTAAACCTATAAATATATATAATATATAAATCAAATAACAGTCTTGTATTTTATTGTGGAGCATAGTTATGGCATTTATTTGTTTTTGATTAATGACGTTTTGTGGGTGTGGCAGTGGTCCGATTACGCCCATCTGCTATACCAACAGTCTTACGGTACCAAGAAACATGTGTACCAAGGTAAGGGATATTTTACTAACATTAAACAGAGCGGGTAATAAAGGACTACCCTTAAGTGCAAGAACTAAATTTCTTATATGTCATAATCTTATGCCATTTTATGGTCGTAATAATAGTCGACCTGTGTTCGCTATTCGTCGAACTGTTGAAAATTTCGAGCGTACTTTTTTTTTACATAATGTTCAAGTGCTAATAAGACAAAAAACCGCTCGAAGTAATGAAAATATTACTGTCGTTCATGCAAGTGTTGCTGAAGACCGTAATTTGTCGATTCCAAGACGTTCTAAAGAATTGGGATTGTCTCATAATACAACCTGGCACATTTTGAGAAAGGCATTGGGCTTGCATTCGTGTTCTCACTCAAGAATTGAAGACACTGGACACCCGTAAATATAGTTAATTTGCTGATTTTGTCTTGGTAAAGAAACAAAACTGTCGATTCTGGTGCGAAGAAAATCCACAAATTATTCTTAAAGAACCATTACATTTACCTAAATTGACAGTTGTCGGGTTTTTGGGCTGGTGGAATCATCGATCCGTACTTCTTTCGAAATGAAGCTGGTGACACCGTTACTGTCACTGGAGAGCGGTATAGATCGATGATAATCAACTATTTATGGCCGCAACTGGTTCCAACACGACAATTAGTGTGTTTTTTTTTTTTTGTTAAATCATATGACTCTTATTGGAAAACCTCGTGTTTTACAATACTGCCAGTAAAAATTAAATATATATATTTCTGAGGGTGATTTTGTTTTTGGGAAAAATTATTTTTAAGGATATAGGGATAGATACGCTGAATTTATATAAAAGTTGCAATAGGCCAATTTTAGGACATGTGGTAGGCTTCCCTGTTTCAGAACCATTTATACTAGCTTGCTCCTCAGGAATAAATAACCCAGTAAATGTAAATGATTTTATTAGGGAATTTTGTGAAAATATTAATTTTGAAAACTGAATGGAATAAAAGTTGCATATAGACAGAATTTGAAAGGGTTTAGAGTTAGACTTTTTACTTGTGATTCACCAGTTCGAACGTTTTTAGTTTGTATATAGTCAAACTCCGGTAAGAATAGTTGCACAAAATACGTTCAAGAAGGGCTCTATAGAGAAAGTAGAGTGTGTTTTTCTCAACCCGTAGCAAAACTAGACCTGATGGTTCATTTAAAAATATATTAGGTACAAGCGATCTCATAGATGAATACGTTACCCCTTAGAACCATGCATTTAGTCTGCTTAGGGGTTATAAAAAAACGCATTCAGTTGCTTATTAAGAGAGGAAAGGTAACCAAAATGAGAAAAAGTATATTATTTCTTAACAACTACGTTCCTTTTTAGTTTTCCAGTAGTAGAAAATCGTATTCGCAGTAGAAATCTGAACAACTGGAAGTCCACAGAATATAATACCGTCAATTGCTATTATATTCGGAGTTGTTTGTATTAAAAGACTACATCTAAATCCGGGGTTCCACATAAATGTTGAAGAACGTGTGTGAGACTGCTATGAGGTTGGACCAAAGAAGAACCCAGACACATCCATTTGATTTGAACCAAACAAAAGGATCATTTAAGTGATTGTTATTTTTGTTTGACTCAAACAAAAGGCTTTACAACACATTGCCCAGTATCCAAACCTGTCTTCGGCCAACAGGCCCATCGTATAAAAAGCTCGGCCTGATAAAAAAATTTTATTAAAGCCATGCCCAGAGATGGCAGTGGGTATGTATATATGTGGATATATGGTATATCCAAAAGAGAAATTCCCTCAGCGAGGCAAAAATTAAAGAGGAAAATTACAAAGACTTAATATATGAACTTATAATCTCATAAGTCTTCGGGTGTAAACTGTCCTTAAAAATACATATGCTAGGGTCTTATCTGGAAATTGGATGCTGCGGGTGACGAACAAGGGAAGAGGTTCTATCAGAGCTTTTCCTTACCACTAGGTTTACGGGCGTTTCTTATATACTTATCTCTATGCGCATCCGTCAAATTGACGGGTGGATGAAAATACGTATTAATTTAAAAAAAAATCTATTTATTCAAACGAAATCTGAGTTTAACGATA